GCTCTCAGAAAGTCATTGTGTAGCTCTGAGAATACTTTTCTTTTCTTTCTTTTCTTTTTTTTTTTTTTTTTTTTTTTTTTTTGTCTTTTTCGTTTTTATCGGTACCAGGGATCGAACTCACGACTGCCTGCTTGTAAGGCAGGCGCTTATGCCGCTGAACTAAATCACCAGCCCCTCTGAGAATACTTTTCACTGCATAGCTCAGAGACTAGTTTTCACGTCCTCAGGTAAGAGAGCTGGATGAACCAACGTGTGCTATGTACTTCTCAGCAGCACACAGTATACAAATAGGTGGGCAGGAGGCTCCCTCCTAAGCATATTTTTTTTTGGTTACCAGGAATCGAACTCGGCATTTTTCACTTGCCAAGCAGGCACTGGCCACTGAGTCATATCCCCGGCCTCTGGCATGGATTTTATACAGCTATTATTTTGTCGTTCCCTTAGTAGGGAACTGGCATGTGTCTAAAGTAAAGGTTCATTTTAGGCCAGTACTACACTGTTACATTACCATGCCGGGATCCACCCCTTGCTTATGCTGGCTTATGCTGGGCAAGAGTACCACTGAGCCACAGCTCAGGTCAGGCCAAAACCCTTTCATTGGACCGTCTCTACATCAAAAAGAACACTGTTATATCTACTCAAACTAGGTTATCTAAAAAGTAGATTATCTAAAAATAATCCAATTGAAGCATGGCATGAGGAAGGTCACAGGAGAAGAGAAAAGAAGGAAAAAGGCATTAATTTATTCTCCTAGACTTTTTATTCCAATAAAAAAGCCATTGTTATTCCTGGAGATTGAACTGTGGGCCTTCATGCTGAGCTACCCTCGCCATTTATTGTTTATTCATTTAATTTTGAGACAAGGTCTTGCTGAGTTACTAAGTTGCCCAGGCTGGGCTTGTGGTCCTTCTGTCTACCTCCCAGAGTGCCATCAGGCTCCAGAGATCTTTCTTAGGGTTGTTACCACAGTGATGTCAGCCTAACAACATCCATAGTAGTTGTATCCATTCACTAGGGGAAATTTAGCTATATGAAAAGCTCTCATTTTACATTTAAAGGATTTTTGCTGAATAATTGAGGAAACAACTCTGTGTGGGTAGAAAACATGTGAACTGTCTTAGGGTGTCTAAAGAGCAAAAGGTGTTTAATCTAGCAAAATAAGATGTGGGAAAAAAGATGAGGCAGAAATGTTTTATGCTTCTGATGACTCCACCAATTTTCACTACAGTATTGAAAAAACTTCACGAAATGAATCAAAACAGACACCTGATGAAGAGGTGACAGACATGCTGGTTATAATAATTACCTAGACAGTTGGGGCTTTAGCTCAGCAGCATAAGCACCTGCCTTACAAGCAGGCGGTCGTGAGTCCGATCCCCGGTATTGATAAAAATGAAAAAGACAAAAAAAGGGGGGGGGGCTGGAGATTTAGCTCAGCGGCATAAGCGCCTGCCTTTGCAAGTGTGTGGTCGTGAGTTCAATCCCCGGTACCGATAAAAAAGAAAAAGACAAAAAAAAAAAAAAATTACCTAGACAACCTCTAAACTTGGTGAAAATTCAAACATCTGTCAAACATAACTATTAAGTGTAATGTCTAGTTGAGGTAGAAGACATGAATGATGAGTAACTATAGTAAAAAATAGAATTTATCTAAGAAATTGATTCTGCTTTTTAAATTTCTCTCAAATCCATCTCTTCTCTCTTATCAGCACTACTCTAATATTTTTTAACTCTGTCTACATTGTCTTCTACAATCTATATTTTCCACATTATAGCCACTGTGTCTTTCTAGCATGCATATTTAACTGTGCTTCGTTCCTTTTTGGTTCTCTCTCTCTTCCACACACACACACACACACACACACACACAAATGTGTTTTTTCTAAACTGTTTGAAAGTGGTTGCTACCTCATATCTCCTTCGATATTGAAATCTGTGCATCCTAAATACAAAGAAATTTTACATAACCACAGTGCAGTTATCATATTCTGACTCTTTGTTGTGTGGGACCTGCCTTATTACTGTGGGAAACTTTCAGGATCTTTTTTTTAGTTTTCAATATGTTGAAATTTTTTAAGATGTACTTTGGTAGGAATCTCTTAGTTTTGTTCACTAGCTTCCTCCCCCCCCCCCATTTTTTTCAGAAAATTTGAGAATTTGTGTACTTCTCTTAAGTGGTTTTTCTTATTTTGTTCATTTTGATAATTATTTCTTCTTCTTCTCCTTCTCCTTCTTCTCCTCCTCCTCCTCCCCTTCCTTTTCCTCCCCCTCCTCCCCCTCCTCCCCCTCCTCCCCCTCCTCCTCCCTTTCTAGGACTTCATTATTCAGATGTTGGCTCTCCTAGACTTATTCTCCAGTTTTCTTCTGCTTTTTGTTTTTGGGTTCTAATTTCTCAAGATTATCTCAATTCATTTTTCAGTTTTCTATTCCATTTATTTCAAAGAGTCTTTGTCTTTCAACTTTTTTAAACTAGCACCATTAGGGGCTGGGGATTTAGCTCAGCGGCATAAGCGCCTGCCTTGCAAGCAGGCAGCCATGAGTTCGATCCCTGGTACCGATAAAAAGGAAAAAGATAAAAATAAAATAAAATAGCTTCATTGTTTATGGATTTAATATCTCTTCATCTTTCTAGGATACTGATGATGATAACCTTTTTGAAATTTTCATTGCTGGTAGTTTGCTTCTTATAAGTTCCTTTTTAAAATGTCCTCTTTATTTTTTTAATCTGATTTTATTTTTAACTATTATGGTCATATACAAATTTATGCTTATGTTGTATCTTCCCCCACTTTAATCCTTCTAATGAGCTGACAGGAAGCACCATACCAATCACACACAACAGTAGTTTCAGGCTTGTGTTTTTAAAGAGCTGTTTAAATACCATCCTGAATAATAACTCTGTCTGACCTAAAGAATTCAAAAATGAAGTCTAACTTGCTATTATATCATGCTAATGTTTAAAAGAATCTGAACTTATAGATCAACTATACAATGTGAGAAATGTCAAATATCTTTATTTGATATTATATGTATAACACATGGAAATGCCTTTCAGTCAGTGAAAGGCAGCACTTTTAGATACAGGTAATTCTAATTAAATTGGCATAGTCAAAACAAAAATATAGATGTTGCTTCCTTGTCTTCAGTCACACCCTTTTATAAACGCAAATTGGAATGGGAGTCTTATTTACTTTTGAGAATGAAGGATTTCCCTAGTATTTAACCAGTTATATAAATCTAACTCTAAAACCAACCTTTAGTAGGTTTTGAGATGACATTCTCAGTCTTTGTGAAAAGTCAACCATTACTAACCAAGTCCAACCATATATTTAGAAAGGGAAAACAGTGACAGTATTTACTGAACTGGAATTACTATCAAAACTTTTTTTAAAAATCCATTTAACTACAAGCCAATTTTATTTAATCAGGACTGTCCAACAAAAATACTCTGTCACCCACTCATGATCTGAATTCTAGTGTATGGTACACATAAAAAAACCACAAGACATTTCTGTTCTGTAATAAGGCACTGACTATTACTCATTAGTAGCTTTTTTGAGGTAAGCTATTAAGTCTACTCTTTCTCCCTTCTTCTTGATGCCAGCAAAGATCATTTTTGTTCCAGGCATGTACTTCTTGGGATTCTTCAAATACTTCATCAGTGTATCCTCTCCCCAAGTGATGCCTTTGTTCTTGTTGGCATCTGTGTCAGAGACTCCAGCAGCCTGACATGTCTTCCTCCCAAACAGACCATGAAGATTTGGCTGTCTTGTGCTTGCTGCCCTTCTTAAAGGTGTGGCACTGGGCACATTTCTGCACAAAAATCTTTTTGCGTTTCTCAACATCACCTATTTTTAAATTTGCTGTGGCTTCTGCGCCAAAAGGTCACCACTCTTTCCTCTTTACCACAAAGAAGGTTCCAGTTTAGAAGCCAGACGACCTCCTCTCTAGCCCAAGAACACACCAATTTGCGGCTAAGTACTGGTGTTAAAATGCCCTGTTTATTACTTAGATAACTCTTGTGTGGAAAGATAGGACACTAAAAAACTGATGAAAAATTCTACCCTGCGACTTGACTGGTACTCACTTGTAGAGTGCAGTTGCTAAGCTGTTCCTTGGGACATCTCTGGGCTCTTGGACCTTTCAGATTCCCTAAAGAAAGGCTCACTGTCCTCTGCTTCCTGGAGTCAGTTTGGCTTTATTTACTCTTCCCATTTTCAGTGTGGTTCCTGACATCATCAACTGTGCTTCATGGCCCACATTTGAAAATTTTTCCTTTTACCTTTTTAAAGAATGAGCCCCTCATTTTCTGCTGCAGCAGTCTAATCACTTCTGAAAGAAACTTTCAACCAGCTCTGCTGTTTTCAGCCTCACTTTTACATTTCTGCAAGGGCTTGCTTCAGAATGTTCTCAGCACACCAGTGCCTGAGCTCCAACGCTCATTGGCTCTCACTGAAAATTCACCTTTCTTGGGTCTTCTTGGTTCATTACTGCCTGCCCTTCTGCTCTTCAACTTCCCTTATTTTGTTGGTGTCATCTCTTTTCCTGTTACTTTTGTCCTTGTAATTTATCTATTAAAATAAATAAATAATTCCCTTTACTGTCTTAGTAGTGTTTCTGGAGAGAGAGGAAATAAACATGTGAGTTCAGTTCACTTGTCTTTAATTAGCAGTTTCCCCTTCTTATTATGAAAAAAAGAAGCATGTCTGACAGCATTGAGTTACTGAAGGAGTGTTGCTCTATTGTGTTGACTCACTAGGACAAGCCAGAGGCTGCAATAAGGTCTAAGATCCTGTGTCCTTTATACCTTTTGTATGTTTGTCCATGTGAGTAAAATGGTGAGGACTGTGCATATAGCTTGTCAGTGGAGTGATGCAATTGGCAGGGAATGCCCAAAATGTGTTCTGATCTGGCCTAGATACTGACCCTGCTTTGTTATGACTTTCTCTGCAGTGATACCACTGTTTATCTCAATTCCCAACCCCAATCCTATCTTACAGGATGACGAAAGCCTCAAGTACCTCACCCATGAGGAAAAAGATGTCATCCTATTCTTTGAAGAGACTCTGGATTCCCTGGAAGATGACTTTGAGGAGCCAGTCCTGTGCGACAGTGGCATTCATTGCCAGTCTCCACAGTCTCTGGAAGACAGCCCATGCAGTCACTCTGAGCCTGAAGATGTCATTGATTTAGTGCAGCCTGGACCTGCAGCTGGGGAAATGGGGTGCCTTCCAGACATGTCTCAGATAGCAGGTGAGGGGTGAAGAACAGATCCTGGCCCTGTAACCTGGTATCCTGGTGTCCAGGACAGGCTCTTTATACTGTGTCCTTCTGTGTTTGCCAGTAGAGCAGCGGTTGGTGGCACCTATTCTTGCATAGAGAAAACAACCCTCTTGGTCACTTGATTGTCTAACAAGGGGGTTTCCAAAGGACTAGGATACAGAGCGAGACCATCTGAGCGTATAAGTAGATTTTATGTTTATGTATATATGTGGAAAGAATTTAGAAGTGACTTCCAGGTAACAATTCTATTGTTCAAAGAAAACATAAAAGGCCCTTCTTTATTTCAGTGCAAAACTATACACCAGTTCTGTGACATTATTTTCCAGTGTGGAGGCATTTGAACTGAAAATCAGCTGGTTCAAAAGATCAGGACAGAAATTCAGGTCAACATCTACTTTGTACATTTCACATGGCTCTGAGTGGCATCAAAGGATACATAAGCTTCTGTCTACTGAAACCTGTGATAAAATGAAATGGACAGAGAGAAATTCCTTCCAGTTCTCTTTTCCTGATAGGAAAGGATGTTGAAAAAAAAGTGGGCAATGGTATAGGAGTGAAATGATAAGGAAAAATAAGAAGGAAACTTTTATTTTTTATTTTTATTTTTTTGGCAGTTCATTGGTTCCTCAGTTCATAAAGTTGGTTGTTTCTACAATTCTGATCACAAACCAAATTGATCTCAAACAGCATCAGCTTTCTCAATAACATCAACACTGAACCTAACAATTTGATTTGGCTCATGACCAATTTGGTTTATAACCAGAATTGTGAAAACAATTAAGTTTCTGAGCTCAGGTACTGCTGTACTAGGGATTGAACCCAGAACTTTACACTGAACTGCATCCCTTTTCTCATTTTTTTATTTGAGACAGGGTCTCACTCAATTGCTAAGTTAACTTAGGCTCAGCTCGCACTTGGAATTCTCCTGCCTTAACCTCTCAGAGTGATAAGATTATGAGTGTGCGCCACCATGCCTGATTTGAGGGAAATGCTTTTACTCTGGTAACTATAAAATATTGCTATTTGTCATAAACCTTCAGAAATGTGTGTGTGTTTTAAAGTAATATTTAATGATATTCACAATTTCATACTCTATAGTTATAGGTTCCGTGTAAAATGGAGCTTGGTTTGTAGCCAGAGAAAAAGCAGTATGAATTTGGTTTTTATTACACTTTTACTTTGAAGTATCATTCTTAAAAGTATTTGAACTGGTAGATCCTTTAAAAATACCAGATCATATAATTGTGCCAAGGAGAACACTTCTTGAAAATACGTCATAGGAATACCATTTTCATAGAGACCTGCTCTGTGTCAGGTATTGCACGAAAATCTAAAGATACAAAGGGTAAAAACACCTGGTGTACTTACGGCTTTGTAGCAGATAGGTGTAAAGAAGTGTCCATAATCTGTGCTGGGTGTGCATTGTTTAGGATGATGGACCCCCAGGAGCACATCTTTATGGCTGGATCCTACATGCTGGCCATTTCTATTCTGACTTACAATTTTGACAGTCACAGATCTGTTTCTTGCATGGTCCTGAAAGTAATAGACTGCCTTTCCTCTCACTGGTCCAAGGAGCAGGAATGGGAGCAGTTTGCTTACAGGAGGCACTGTGGAAGTTGGTAGTTATGTCCCTTGGAGAGTCTCTTAAATTCCATGAACAGGAATGTAACACATTTATTTTTATATAAGATGGAAAGCTTATGAGGTCTTTCCCTTTCTTCAGGGGCTGGACCTGTTGGGACAGAGGACGATCCCATCCCTGAAGGCAGGAAACACAATGCTGAGAAGTCCCCGCCATCAGGCTCCACAGTTCCAGAGACCATTTCCTTGCCCCCACTGTCCCCATCTAGTGCCCCAGCCCATCTTAGGAAGGAGCTCCTCCCTCCTCCTCCAGCAGAGCACCCAAAGCTCCTGCGCTCTGTCCCCACTCCTCTTGTGATTGCTCAGAAAATTTCTGAGAGGTTAGCAGAAAATGAAGCTCTATCCCCCACATCCTCCTCCAAAGAAAGTAGGCCAGGAGATTGGAAGATACTTGCTTCTCTTCCTTCTCGGAATGGGGACCACTTCCTGTGGCACAGACATACAGCACAGTCCCCACCTAAGATTCATCGCTTCCCCAGCAACATCAGTGTGACCAACAGCTCAGGGAAGGAATTCAATAAGACAATCTCGAAGGCAGCTGTCAATGTGCAGGAGCGGAAAGCCCAGGTCCTGGCAAACATCAATGGCGTCTCCTTCCTCACCCCAGGAGACACAGAAGACCGGTCACAGAAGAGTGACCTCACGGAGCAGAGGAGTGTCTCTCCAGATCAGACAGCACATTCCCAGAACACCCTAGGCCTGGCCACTGAGGCTGCAGGCCCCCAAGCAGCAGGGCTGTCCAGTGGTCAGCAGTCTAGGGGCGTGCAGACAGAACAGCCCCCAGCACTGGCCAATGGCTTCCAGAGCATCCACGAGGCCCTCAGAAGTGAGCCTAGTAGCTTCATGTCCACTGGAAAGACCATCACCTTCCGCCCAGACCCCACTCTTGCCAGCAGACTGGCACGCCAGAATGCCAGCAGAAGCACCTATGCATCCCAACAGCCAGACTGCAACCAGGATGCCAGGAGGCGGGGGGGCTCTCTCCCCAGGGCAGTGGGCTTCAGACCCCAGGGCATCACTGTGCAGTTCGCTGGCCGGGGCTCCACAGAGGAAGCCCGGCGGGAGGCCCTCCGTAAGCTTGGGTTGCTTAAGGAAAATGTATGAAGCTGTCGACTGGCAGAATGACTGAAATGTACCTGCTTTTCCCCTCCATAAAGAAAGGATGAAATGAAACACTATTATTGGTGTAGGGTTGTATCTCATACTGTAAATCCAGGAGCTGGTTGGTATAAAATGCACACGCCTTCATCCCAAATGCTGTGCCCAGTGCAGGAAAGAGCCCAGTGGCTGGCATCAGGAATCCCACAACTGAGCAGGTCCTCTTCTGTGAAAGAGAAACCATGCCATATCTTACCATATTTCTCAAAGGTCCCAGAGAGACAGAATAATCTTAAACACCTGTTTGCTTCCACAATTTGTTAATGCTGTATGATTCAGGAAGAGAGAGAGAGTACCTGATTGGTCATTCTTGAGTCTTTGCTCAGACTTCTATCCCAAGTACATTACATGAAAGCCATTTTAGATTGTACTCAGAATTTTTCCCCCTTGTTTTCTACAAAAGTAAAAGAGAAATGCTTGTTAAATTTTTATAGTGTCATGATACTTGTTTGGCTTTTTGTTTTTGAAGGCTGAAAGATGGTATTTTGCCCCTAGATATTTCTTGATATAATTTGGTTTGCTTGGTATTTTAATTGAAAAATTAAAATGAAACTTTAGAGTATCATTTACTGTAATTTTGAATTATGAAAGTAAAGTTATGAGTTGAGAAAAAGTGGTAATTTGGAGAAAGCAAGTCTCATCAGATTCCAAAACCTGTTTTCCTAGACCATGTATATGAGTCTGTGGTGTGTATATATGTACATAATGTGTTAACATACACAGAGGTATTGTATGTTTGATGTGCATGTTATTACATACATATATAAACTTCTGAAAACCTTATTAAATAACTACAGGATATGAGCACTTCCTATTCTCCTGATACAGTCATCTCAGCACTGTGATGAATAACATAAGAAATTACTTCCTAATAAGGAAGTCTTTAAGGCCACAGGTATGTGCAAACATGGTTTTTCCTTAACAGTGTATTCTGTTCCCAATTAAAGTAATATTCCCTGATTCCAAATAAGCCAGGTTTCTTTTCCTTTTTTAATGAAGAACACTTTTAAAAACTGATCTTTGTTTTGTTTATCACCTAACTTTCGTTTTGTGTATTCCAGGGTAACTAGGAAACAAAAGATTCTCAAAAGATCCTTTGTTGATTTTGTTTCATGAGTGACATTTCAGAATTAATTTAAAAGGGGAAAACAGTAAACTAGGTAAAAAGCATGAAAAGAACTGGTTCATTTCCCAGACTGTGTCCTACGTGCTAAGTTGTGACCACAAGCATTATCATCAAAATTGTTTAAATCTGGAGTCTTACACCTCTAAAAATAGATGAGGAAGGACCATCCTGAGCAGTCACACTTTTGTTGTATGTCCTGCCAGCACCATAAATGTTTCTTTCCTGTTGAGTATGACTTAAACTCAGATTAAAATGTACTGTGAAGGGCATTTTGTTCATAGTATTCTACTTGCCTTGTAAGTTACACACAAAAAAAATGATTATGGTTTTTTTCCCTTTGAAGCACAGTATTTAGTGTCTCATCCAGTTCATGTTTTTATGAAATAATCTCAGATTCTTAATGATCTTAAGTAGGTGCTTTGATCTTTTTATTCCAGTTGGTTGGATTTGTTTAAAGGATTCATGAGTTTCCTTTTTACAAAGTGAGATGCCATATACAGTGTTTAATAGTTGAAGGTCTTGGTAGAGCTAATATTTTAAACATCCTTTATATAAGGATTATTTTTACCTTACCCTAGGATTTCATTATGATAGGTAAACTTGACTGTATATTAGTGCATTTGTTCTTCTAGTGACATTTTTGAAAATAAGTTTAGTTTTATCTTACATATAAGCAACTTTGATTTTGACATGTACAGTGTCTTTATTTTCTTTTAAATGGTTATCTTTTCTATTTATTCATAATTCTATTTATTCATAATTATACTATTACTCAAGTCATTTCTTATCCCCATAATCTTTGTGATCAAAATTTTCTAAGAGCTTCAAAGGACAGTTGCTAGTGACATAACCTGTATGTGTACATAACATGTTAACAAAAAAATCTAGTTTGCCAAGAGGCATTAGTTTTCTTGCCACAACTATGTGCTGTTACATTCATAAAGGCCGTCAGGTTCAAGGTAATTTGAAGGACCTTTTTTTTTGGTACTGGGGATCGAACTCACGAGTGTGTGCTTACAAGGCAGGCACTTATACTGCTGAGCTAAATCCCCGGCTACAGGACCATATTTCAAAGCAAGATTGTAATGAAAAGGAAGATAAATCTGAAATGTACATTTTTTTAAGTGATACTTGTAAGCCATTCTCTATAAAGTTTTTTAATGTTTGAAAAACAGAAAAAAATCTCCATTGTTTTTATGAGGGTATATAAATGCCCAAACAAGAATCTTAAAACAAGCAAACTGCACTACTTTGCAGGTATCAAGATGAGAGCATTCACACCAGTTCTCTCCCCCTCATCATCCTTTCTTTGACATTTGGTTCCCAGTGTACATACTCATCTTCACAAAATTGACAGAATTTTTTTTCTTTGTTCCTCCCTGCTGAAGTGCACATTTTTCTGTAACGCTGTTTGTAGAGCCACAGGAGATTTGAGGATGCCACCTACCAGGACCTTTGAGGGCACTGCTGTCCACAGTGTTTAACCAGAGAGCCCTCTGCTCTGCTTCTTGATCTGAGGCAAAGCCACTGAAGGACAGGCAGTAGCCAGAGCTCAGTGCCTGAGCTGTGTTCCTACTTTTTGCCCCTCTTGGACTGTACAAGCTGACTTCAATTGTATAGGGTTCTTTCTTCAAATCTAGTGAGTAGCTCCCATAGTAGGATCCCCCCATTGAGAAATAGCTTTCATGAAAAACTTAATAGAATTGATAAATGAGGCCTGTGGAACACTGCATTGACCTTTTCATTAAAAAAAAAAAAAAAAATCAGTCTTGCAGAGTTCTCACCCATCATGCCTGAAACTTTGGGTCTAGATGCCAGGCAGGGAGGAAATCAGTAGTTAATTCTTTTTAACCTCAACAGCTCTAACAGTGAGGATTTGACCTTTCAGAGAATTCAGTAATGGTTTTTTTTTTTTTTTATTTAGGTGATCTAAGAAATCAGCTCTTAGCAACGTATGGCAGTGTGTGTCTATAATCACAACACTTAAAGGCCCAGGTAGACAGATTGCAAGTTTGAGCCCAATCTGGGTGATTTAGACCCTGTCTCAAAATTAAAAAGGGCTAAGGATGTTAGGACTGAAGGCGTTGCGTTCAATCCCCAGTACTACAAAAATAAAATCCATTCTTTAATGGAGAGAGAAATAAATGTGACAAGTTTTATCAAGAAATGTGTACCTTCTGTGTTGCTGATGTTTTCCAAATAATATATGAGAGCATTGTTTCTCTTCGGGTGTATTCTGTCTTTTTAACATGACAAGATCAATAAATTTTTTTTTTTTTGCCTCTAAATTACTCCCTTCATTTCTTAAACATACCCAGTAATGGTGTTCTTTGCCCGAGTGGGAAGCTTGTTTTCCTGTTTTCCTTGTCTTCTACCGTGGTCTCCAGCCAAGGCTGCTGGATAGGAGGAGGAAGGGGAGGAGTTCAGAGGAATGTTAACCTGCGAGAAGTTGATGTTCTCACTGAAATGACAAGTTACCAAACAGGTTTTGTGTCTTCTTTTCACATCAAGGCTTTTTTCCCTGTTTTAAAATACAGGGAACAAGTGCCCATATCCTTTTCTAATCTACTAGTTGGACAAGCTGAGCTTTCAGATATCTGAGGAAAGAGGACAGAACTGTTAAGCTTCCACATCCTAGGAAAATTGGAACTCTTGGTAGCTGAATTTGAAATAGAGACTTGGTCAGAACTCTTGTTCATCCACTGGCCTTCCATGTTGGAGACCACAGGAAGCTGCTCTGAGCAGGATTTAAATTTTACTAATTGGCTTTCTGAGTTTATCTGTGAATCTGTCCTAGGCCTAGGCCCCTTGCCTGGCGATGGGAGCTAATTCATATTGTTACCCTCTATGAATCACTGGTCCTGGCTGAGGCCTGTAGTGGCCTGTATGGCCAGAGATACCTCAAAGGGCAAGATAAGGCCACAGCTGCAGCCACTCTGGCTCAACCCCAATTAACAAGGTAGAGACTGCAGCTGCAAAGATTACTCCTACAGTCTCACTTCTACCATGTCTTCATATAAGACGGTGCTACTAAATTGACTTGATTCATGACTTAGAGACATCCTTGAAGTGACTCCCAAGGTCCTGCTCATTGCCTGCACTTTTCTCAGTCTCTCGCCCTTTTGTCCTTCATCCTAATATAAGTGGACTGATCCAGAGAATCCTTTATCTTTATCTTCAAAGCCTCGAACTTAATTAAAGGGTTTTGACCCTCCTGGAGCCCTAAAAATTATACAGTTTGTCTCTTTTTATTTAACCTCCACTGTACACTCGTTTGGGAGATCAGGGATGTAGGACAGAACCCGATACTTCCACCAACCCCAAGGTCCTCTCCCCTTGTCCTCCAGAGTCACCAGCTTTCTGAGGGATGAGAGCCCATGACTGGGGCTCTGTAGGAGAAGCCTAAGGCCATCCTATACTTTGCAGCTTGGAAGTGGTCAGCTTTTGTGGGTGACAGCTGAAGTCCTTCCACAAAATCCTGTTATTCACAAAAATACAGCAAAACTGCCCAGTACACTCCAAATTCATTAAATTTCAGAAAAGCCAATCACTCTAGTCAGCAGTTTCCATTGTCCCTCCTGTTACTATTCCAGGAGAGGGTGAGGAGCCATGATACCCACAGAAGCCCAAAGATAACCTTTTTAGCACTGGGATCTCATCCTCCAAACTACCTTAAAGCAGGGGAGATAATTTCCAGCAAAAGCCAATGGCCTGGCCCGCCCCATGTGTTCTCCAGCCCAGGGGAGAAGAGCCCTGAGGAGCCAGAAGGAGAAGCAGCACTTCGCCTCCAATGGTGCTGGCCATCTCCTGAATTTCTTTACAGTCCCTGGGCATATCTGTCCTGGGTTCTAGCATGAAGAACAAGGCAGTATAGAGAGATTTTCACCTAACTCCTTGGTTGAGTTTAATGCTAGTTTTCTTGAACGTCAAGGCTTCCTTAAGATTCTCTTTTGTTTTGTTTTTTGAGACAGGGTCTTGCTCTGTAGTCCAGGCTGGCCTTGAACTCACTATGTAGCCTAGGCTGGCCTCCTGAATACTGGCATGAGCCACTACGGCCAGCCTGCCTTAAGATTCTGGAAACCAGTTGCTTCCTGACTGAACTTGATATTTGAGTTTCAGGGAGGATTTGTGAAGGGCCCTGGGCCCCTCTTCTGGGTGCTGGCAGACTGAGCACAGGCCTGCTACTTCTCAGTTTGAGATTACGTTCTCTCCATTTCATTCCCCGGCCTGTAGTCAAAGCAATAGCTGTGACTGTCCCACCCTACCTGAAGGTAAAGACTGACCTTCAGAAGCTGAAGCTATTGGAATTTAGTCACTGACAAACAGGTCACACTTCATAAACTTTAAGCTCAGAGTATTTGTGCTAGTTGTCAAGGTTAGTAACATAAATTCTGGAAATACCTTTCAGGGGTGGGGCAGAATGAACAAGGAATCCATGTGCCAGGCAGGCTTCTGTGCATGTGAGTGTGTGTGTATGTATGTGTGTGCACACGTGCATGCCTCTCTGCATGCATGTCCATGTGCATGTATTCTCTTCAGGTGACTGGTCTGATTTCAGTCCTGGGCACTTATGGTTCTGTGTGGCTGTCCCATTGTTTATTATGTGAGTGTACTGCCTTTGAGTGTCGTGACACAGTAAGAGGCCTGTGCTTATTATTACAGATGGTCTCTCTGCCTTTGTGAAATGACATAAGGCCTCGTACAATGAACATCGTTTCCAGGTTACTGGGACAGCAAGTTGCAATGTGGAGCTCCTTTCATGTGACCTCACTGGCAGTCTCTCTCTGACTCCTCTGTCACTGTCACTCCTCTCTTTTCTGTCTTTCCTTAGGATTGAACCTAAGGTCTTTCACCTTGAGCTATACCCCAGCCTTTATCCCTTTTTATTCGTAGAGGTGGTCTCACTAAGTCACTAAGCTGCCAAACTTTGAATCCTAGTGTGCTGGAATTAGAGGCTTTGAAACTTTCAAAACATTAATTTGGCAACGTTCCTTCTTTCAGCAAACCCTTGTGCCTTTCCACATGGCAGACACTGAGTGATGCCAAATAGTATCCCCTTTATTCTGTGACTATCTTTCGTGGCCACTCACCGATAGGCTCCTCTTCATCGAGACCTTGGGGGAAAGGGGTTCTGGTGGACGGTGCTGCAGACTTTTGCTGCCTGACCTGTGCCATAGCTGTTGCCTTCCAGCCTTCTCTCCTAAATGTGCGGAACTCAAAACTGGTATTTATTCTTTAGTTTTTTTTTTTTTTTTTAACCAGAACCGGGGATCGAACTCAAGACCGCCTGCTCACAAGGCAGGAGCTTATGCCACTGAGCTAAATCCCCAGCCCTCAAAACTGGTATTTAAAGAAGTGTGTTTTGCCATCTTGTTTCTCTTCTACAGAGCTTTTCCTGCCGCTCACAGAGTTGCTTCCTGTTCTCCCAGGTCTCATCCCTGATTTGTAGTTCTTTTTCTACTACTTTTTCCACCAGGGGACTTGTCTATAGGGACAAGAAGGAAAAAAGATGGAAGACTGTCATTTGGAAGCCAGACCTGGTGAAAAGCCCTGCAGAGGGCAGGGTGGGGTGGCCACTTTTGAGTGAGGGAGGCCTGGGTGTGCCAGGCCTGAGCAGGCTACTATCTGGGATCAGATCCAGGAAAGTCTGGAGCCCTGGACTTCTGCCTGGGGGAATCCAGTTCAAGGCAGGTCCTTTGGCTCCCCGTTTCTCTCCTTTCCCTTAGGTCTTGGTTTTATCTGGAACCTGAAATTGCCAGTTTCCATCAGCCCCACATCAGGGCTCTTACACACACTGCACAATGTACACTAAAGCTAGCTGGGCTCTCAGGGCTTGCCCAGTCTGCTCATTGGCAGATCTTTGAAGTCCTGGCTGTTACTGCAAAGACAGTCAGGCATCAGCAGAAAGTCTACAGACATGCCTCCAACCAGCAGCCTGCCTTAGCCTGGGCCTCCACACAAGGCCACTGGGCCCCAGGGAGAAGGTGAGGTGAGGAGGTTATATCACTGTTGTGAGTTCCCAGTGCCATCCCCACTGTGATAGAAATGCAGTGCAGCCTGGTGGCCAGACTCCTGTTGTGCATTATTACAATGCTGCCAATATATTCGAGTGGTATTGCTACTATTTTTAAAATTTTTTTTATTTTAAATAATAGAACAAAGCAAATCAGAACAGAACAATACAAGCAACACAGGACTTTATAACAAGACAACAGGAAATCAACAATGGCTACCATGTCTCCTGTTTTCTTTGAAATAGTTGTCAATACCTTCACACACAATACAATCAAACAATACAAAATAGTATAAACCCAATCAAAAAAGAAAGAAAGCATTATAAGAATTCAAAGCCAGGGGTTGGGGATTTAGCTCAGCGGCATAAGTGCCTGCCTTACAAGCAGGCAGTTGTGAGTTCGATCCCCAGTACCGATAAAAAGGAAAAAGACAAAAAAAAAAAAAAAAAAAAAAAAAAGAATTCAAAGCCAGATAACAAGAAATGACAATATAGTAACAATGGTTACTCTATGTCTCGTTTTCTTCAAAATAGCTGTTCATACCAACACATAATAAAATCAAAATAGAATAAAACCAGTTAAAATAATGAAAACATTATAGGACTTTAAAACAAGATACTAGGAAACCAAACGTGATTACCATAATACATCTCATTATGGTCAAAATAGCTGCCCATACTATCGGACAAAGTAAAATCTCACAGAACATAACCAAACCTAACAAAATTGTGAAAACATTACAAGAGTTCAACACAAGACAATAAGAAATTAACAGGGGAGAAGCAAAGATGGCACATAGATAACAACTGGCTACAGAGGCCCCCTGAGATAGTCAACTTAGAATTCAACATAATACAGAGTGGGGTGCCCCAAACAGAGGGATATGAATTCTCTTGTCCCAAGAAGAAATTAAGATGAGAAGAAACAACCAAACATACAGTCCTGGTGCTATTATTAGAACAGCTAAAAGTTCAGTGTTCCTGCTGCAGCGGTCAACTTGCCAACCATCCGAGGTCCCGCCACTTCGACTCACTGGAGGCACAGTTACATTGAGTTTGGGGGTCAGCGAGCCAAACGGAGAGCTGAGTTGGCAGGGTGCCTGCATCGACTTGTGGTGAGTGACGGGAGTGGAGCCATTTCATAGAAAGGGGGGCTCTAGCAGATGACATTCTGGACCTGGGCAGGACTGGCAAGTACAAGGGGCAGCAACTGACTTCAGTCCATTGTTCCCTTCCCAAACGGGATTGGTGGAGTGAGTGAGGCCTGGGTCACAC